GTGGATACGGTTCTCAGAACCTCACGAAAGGGTACAATTACATGAATCGAATAGTGCAGCCAATGAGAATACCCCATAGGCCACCGCGCTGCTCATGGGACCGAACTTCATTCCTTAGCGTGTACGACCGATTGAACATCAATTTTACGGAAAAATGTTTTCAAATCGAATTTACGGCATACATAGTTTGAGAGTGTGTTGTTACTGATTTACAGGTGTCACAAGTGTAGCACATAAAAATGTGACGAGTATTTATGCTAATGATTTATTCTTGCTACGATGGTTGCAACTTGTGGATGATCAGAAAATTATAAAAATCATCGAACAAAAAATGCGTCCATATCTAAAATAAAAAATATATTAACCTTAAACATAATGTCTATTGACCGAAACTGGTGTCATGATGGAACCATATAGTTTTTTATGTTTCTATTCAACATCTATTTTGCAATTATTTCAAACATACGAGAATGATTTGACGAATTCATGGTAAAAGAAACTACGTGTATAGGTTTTGCGTAAAACGTAGTTTCATATAGCATAAATACGTCCAATTACACACAGACAAGTGTAAAATGTAGATAAGCCTTTCATCATTGCATGCCGAAAGTGTCACCTTATTTCCACGGTCGAGTACAGGATTTAACTTTTTTCCTTAAAAAAAGTACAATTCTAAAGAGAGAATTAAAATGTTTTTTTTTTTTTTTTAAAAATAGTTTTTTCTCTGCAGGTCAACAGACAAACGAGGAAATAGTTTTTAAAATTTCCCAGTTTAGTGAATTATTCATGAACGCAGCAACGTACCTACGTACCTCGGGTTAAAAATTATTAATTATCTGCATTGAGGAAAGAGGTTAGATTGTATCCAAAGTACTGTGTTCCACATTTCGCTGCACTTTTTTGTTCATCTAATTTTACAATATTTAATTTAACGTAACTTTCCTACCAAACCGAACTGTAAAATACGCCGGTAGCATGAAGTGAACTTTAGAAGTAAGAGCCCGATTGCGCTGGAACTGCAATGATACGGTTACTAGAACCGTGAGCATGGTTACATGAACCGAGTAGGGTGGCCGATAAGGAACACCTCCATCATTTCATAAAACCAAACTTTTTTTCTCATACTGGGGATCATTAAGGGGTTTAGGTCTAAGACCGGGTCTGCAAAATTGTAAAATCTCTACATTAAGTATCATCTTAAATGGAATAAATTATCAAAGAGTCGTTCAATTTTTTCACAAATTAAAAGAAAATCAAGTTCAATTCTCTGGAAATTGGCTCCTGCAGTTTTTGAAGTTTAGCTTTCTACATCGATTAATTGTAAATATCTCGGATTTTTTCTACTAGCAAAATGGGACTCAAGAGAGACTGACAACTTTCCTATTGCGTTCTAATAACAATCTGGCAACGGCGGCTGAAAGTGACTCTGGACCAAATAACGGGTCTCAGCCGGTGGAAAGCAAGAAAGCCGGAATTAGAGGTAGTCAAAGGATTCCTTCATGAAGTCAGATGGTCTGTAAATTGACCTCCCTTACATCGAGAGATGATTTCTCCCTAAAAGCATGTCATTATTGTCTCCGTATTTTTATCTCGGGATATATTTTCCAAACAGTTCTCACAGCTTTATTTCTTTCTTGTGGGTTTTAGCTAAAATTTGAGATTTTCATAGAAAGTTTTAAAACACATTTTGTAATAAGAGGAAAAACTCAAATTTTCTTCTGATGTTCAATTTAGCCCGAAAGCTTAAAAAATAATGCCCAAATTGAAACGGTATCGTAATGCAGTTTCTGAGGAATAAATCCAGCTATGAGTCATTTAACAGAATCTTTTTACGTATGGTCATTATTGTTGTTACTACCAATTATGTTTTATAGTTTAATTTTCTAGTTTTAATCTGCATTTTTGGGTTTTTTTGCTTTTTTCTTTTCTTGTTTCGTCGCAGTCACAAATTCACTCTGTAAGATCTTATTTTCCTTTCCTTTCTTTTCTATAGTAAGATAGCGTATAAAGTCAGGTGTTTTGGGCTGTGCAGGTATAATTTTATCATTCTAGCAATTTGACTAATTGCCTTTCCTTGGCTTTCTTTCAAATATTGCATATCCATCTTGAGTTGAAACAATATTGCTTGCATCTAATGTTGGAATACAGAAACTATAAAATCGTTTTCAGAATAAATGCAGAGAAATAGAATCATCTGATGAATGCTCAAACGCAGAACAGAATCATTCAGTTATATTATAATGCAAATTTTGCTGAGTTAAACAGAAGAGAACCAACTCATGTTTTCAAAGACCAATTACAGATGAGTTACTCTGAGTGGACCATGTACAAAAATTAACCCATACAATCAAATTTTGGTAAATTAACTGTTGTATCTGATTTTATTTATACGCAGAATGTTTCAGAGAGAGAGGAAACGTTGACTCATTTTTGTATGCTTTAAATTTAAGGAGGAAAAATTAAGCAAACCATTAAGTAGCACAATTTGCAATTTACCAGGTTGCATAAAATATTAGAAAGTACGACAACTTTTATAAATTTTCGTAAGAACCTCGTCAATTCAGGGAAAGGAGGAAAACCACAAAAATGCTGCAGGTGAATAATGACTGATTTGAAGATATGAGCATGAAAAATAATCAATTAATTTTCGAGTGGCAATGTACGGCACTGTTACAAAAAAGCTATTTACATTTTTTGAAAGTCTGACCTTAATCTGCGCCTCATCATAAGTCTAACTAAGAGTCTGAGTCAAAGAATATTATGTCTACGGATAAATACAAATTGGAATATAGACGTATCGCAAAAACAGTTTGTCACTTTTTTGACCACCCTTTATATCAGCAAACATTTTTCGAACAACATTAGGTGGATCGTATTTATCAAAAAGGAACGAAGAAAAAAGAAGTTGCATGATTTTAAAAACACCCTAATCGCGCTGGTTTCTATTTGCTAAAAGCGATCCACGTTATGTTCAACGTCAGTGTTGTACGACTAGATATACAACTGTATGTAATGGGAGCTATTTTTTGACAGTTAGCCGAAATAGAGGATGTAGAATTGGTTATTTCACTGAAAATAAGGTGAGACCAACCCAAAGTCGTAGCAAAAAATGCACGCGTAAAGCTGGAATCTGCGGCATCCAATAGCCGAAGGGGAAATTAGGTAGGAATGCAAAGGGAAACAGGATAGAGTAAGAAGTCGTCTCGATAATATATCCAGGAATTCGGAAGGAATTTACAATGTATAAGACATGCAAAATCGCCGCAACGAATACTTTGCTAAGCTTTCGTTTGAGTCTCCAAGTAACGAAACCGTTAATCGCGCACCATTACACAATTCTCCAACCGGTTTAAGAAGATGCGTTGGCAAACTTTGATTTCTTTTCCTTTTTTCAATGAAACCAGTGGTCAGCAAAGAATTAGCCACCTCGTGTGTTGAAGTTCACGGACAAACATCCTGTGAAGTTCATACACTCACCACACACGAGTGTAAGTTTTTATTTTTTCCCCTTAACCTCCAGAGTAATAGTCCCTGAAAGTAACCTACACTGAAAAAAGAAACACATTGGATCTAGAGTCCAGACTCTTAAAAACATCGACAAGAAAAAATGCTCTTGATTCAATCGGATTTTTGCTTAAATCAAGAACCAAGCCTCTTAATTTGAGCTGATTTCCTTTTTATTTAAGCTTAAATCTGATTGAATCAAGAGTATTTTTTCTTGTCAATGTTTTCAAGAGTCTTAACTCTAATCCAATGTGTTTTTTTTCCAGTGATTTTTTCCCCCTTAACCTCCAGAGTAATAGTCCCTGAAAGTAACCTATAAACAAGAGTATTGAATGAAAGAAATGGATTTTCTGACGCGAGAACTTTTCATGCAAGAAGATCAACGTTTCATTCGGTCGAGTTCAATATGCAGTGAATTTAATTTATCTACAACACATTGGTGTGTTTTTTAGTAACTCTCAAAGTAATTTTCGCCATAAACCTAGATACACAGGGTGGTGAATCAGAGAGAAATTTTGTGATCCGAGAGATTGTCATGCGAATCATGTTTCATTATAAAGTTGGATGCATTTTTGCTAAAATGAACTATGCACAAATGAATCTAATCATAATAAAAAATTGGTGCGTAGGATATCCATGCTTTATTTCTCTTTTTGTTTTAATTCCTTGTTAATAGTTCCTTTCAGCATAAATACATACAACCAATTCAAAGAATGATATCCGCTTAAAATATACTTGTTCAAAAGTATGAACGATGAACATGATATTATAAAATTTCTTAAGTAAAATGATAAAAAAGGAAGCTATTGGTGTCAAGAAGAAACAATCATTGCAATTTCTAGAATAATGGCATCCTTATCAAACGTTTTAACAAGTTTATACGTTACTTAAAAGGTTTTACTAAACATTAATTGTCTAAAAGTTTGAACGATAAACGTCCGAACGAGGTGACTTTAACGCAAGTACATGAATGTAAGCTAATTATGTCAACAAGAAACGGGATGAAATTTCAGGACGACAGTCTTAGTTATGCCGTTACTTCAACAACTTTACTGAAAATAAACCGTCAAAAGTGCCATGAGGTGACTTTAACGAAGAAACAAGGAAGTAAGCGAATGGTGTCAAGAAGAGACGGTCACCACAATTTTTCAAAATGATGTCCTGTCTGTTTCTTATTTACGCTCCTTTCAAAACTGTACTGAGAATTAACTGTCAAAATTTGTGGACAATTGACATGCCACCGAGGTGACTCCAACGCAAGGACAAGAGAGTAAACCATTGATGTCAAGAGGAAAAGGGTTGCCGCAATTTTTAATAATAAGGACAGCCAATTTTTAAAAATAAGGACAGCCTAGTCCAGCGTTTTCTGACGTATTCGCGTACTTTACAGATTAATCTTAAAATTAATTTCAACTTTTAGAACGTCTTGACACACATTTATGAATATTAAAACGAAATGAAAAAACAATATTTTGAGGGTCAAAGCAGAGACTTACCTAGCACTTTATGCTCCTTTGGGTAAACGTGTCCTGTTCCAAACACTGATTAGAAGCCGAACTAGCACTGGGGTATAGATAACAACTTAAAAACAAAACCAGGGTTTCGACGGATCGCGGTGAAGCGCGAAGATTTCAATTATCCAATTCGACGAGTGCGTTACTGGGAACGCTGCGAACGCACGTGAAGGATGCTAGCGCATATTTTGGCACAACACTCGCACAGGGCCACAGGGACAACCGCGGTGGGTTTCACCGACATTCCCTCAAAGGGATCCCGGGGGAGCACAGAAAAGTTACACGGGAAGATCTAATTGTTCGAGACCTTGACCGCAGCATTACTTAGTTACAGCTATACTGAGCGGCCAACGGCAGTCCCACGACATTCGAAATGGTGGGGGTAAAACCGGGGCATCGACCAGCTCCGCTCCTATACTCACACACACTCACGAAAGCGGACTCGCGCACACACCACCACATGTGCGCTGCGCGCTTGGAGCATCGGAATTTATAATAATTATTCCCGTGAGACGGTGTGCGTGCGTCGACGCGGTCGTGTGTGAGTATACGTGTGTCTGAATGTCTGTCTGTGTATGCATTACACATTGCTACTGCAAATTATTTGTTAACTATATGCTCCGTACAGCACCCAGTGTTTGCTCCCCCTGTCCGCGGCTTTTTCGGGTTCATGCCCGGAACTGAGTGATGGGCAACCTCTCTCTTCCCCTTTCCGTGGCTCTGCCGTGCTAAGGAAAAACGCCGTATGAACTTTTAGGCGTTGCCAAATTTCATTCGGTAAATCACGAATTTCCGGGAAAATCTGTGTATATTTTTCGTCCAATTTTTCAGATAATTTTGTTTGCAATTTTACCTAAAGTTCTTGAAAATTTATCGGAAAAATATTCATAATTTTCCTCAAAAATAAACATTTTATCGAAGGAAATGTCACAACTCTCGAATGTTCATACGGCGTTCTTCCTAAATACGGTACAATAGACCACTAGACAAGGTGTGAGTTTAAGCATTCTGATACATGTTTTCTGCAAGTAAACAATCACTCTGATGTTGAAATCAATTCCCAACTATGAGTTTCACGTTTTTAATTTTCATTGGCCGCTTGAAAATTGCAATGCGTTTGGCGCAATGCAAGAAGTATTCATGCAGTCTTGTAGGCGCTTGTATACAAAAATACATGTTTAATCTTGGGAAATTTGGCAACTCTCGAATGTTCATACGGCGTTTTTCCTCAGCACAGCAGAACAGCATTTAGGTTCGTGATAAAGACTCCTCCATTTGGACCAAGTTTATTAGAAAAGGAACCAACCTACATTTTCTAAAAAATTGAGCTAAGAGTGTTTTTGAGTTCCATTAGACGTACATTTCCTCTTGCTAAAAACTCACTATGGAAAAAAATAGTTTAAGAAAAGAGGGGTTAAATTTTATTCTTTACATTGAGTCTTATTAAGGTATAAAACTTCAAACCTTTTTAACTTCATGTCGGTTGGTACAAGTCTGAGTTACATACCTTTCTGATAAACTCGGTTCATCTGTGGTTAGATTCGCATATTCCAAAATTCCCATCGAGAGGGAAAATCACGGAAAAAAATAGCCAAGGGTTGTCGGATGATAAGGACATTTCCAATTATCTGTGGTTGTACCTCCATAAATTAGGTTACTAACCCAAATGTTGCGGTGCTAATCCAACTTGAGTTGCGATACCACCACAATTGATTGGCAATGTGCTCATCATCCAACGAATTGGGGGCAGTACCACAGTTCCAGGGGATAACCCCTAACACTCATTTTCCGTGATATGATCTCCGGGAGAGCTATGTTGGTCTGCTTTACTTGAAAAAATTGGAAATTATTATTAAGACTTGATGCTTTATACTGATGAATAGTAGCTGTCAATGCTTGGGTAACTAGAAAAATGTCTACCGGCATAGATTCAGGTTAGCATAACAAATTAGAAATCGACTGTGAAACTGCAAAAGTGCGTATCTTGGTTGCGGTGTTTTGAAATTTCCGCAACTGTTATTTTTAAAAGGAGATCAACAGGGCCGGATTTTCCTACTTGCCGCCCATGGGCCGCCTGTATTTTGCCGTACCCTTCTCATTCGTTTTAATACATCAATAAAAACCATCAAGTGAACGTGCCAGCGGGAGAGGGGTGCATAAGACGCGTTTACTCGTGTTGAACACATTTTTTGGGAAAGCCCTGTCACGCTACTAGCAAAAGGTCACGGAACTTTGCGCGAAAGTCAAGTTTCGTAAACCTATTTCTAACGGACAAGGCATTCCAGGTATAAGAAATTAACGAAAAAATTATGAAAGAACAAACACAAAATTTGGTTTAATGATTTTAACTTCTGCCGCCGCGCCGCGCCGCGTCACCGAGAAATGCGTACAATACCTAATGGCGAAATTAACTGTTTCAGTACAAAATATGATTATTATTCCGCCTTGCGAAATTCAAATCAGTGATGAATGAAGTAAAGGAATTATCGCTTTTATATGGGATATATCAATGAGATCGAGGTATTTAGCGAGGCGGAAATCATTAATTGTTGCAAAAACGCCGGGTGTCCCACCATCAACTTGCGGTGCCAAATGAAAATAACTTCTTTCAAACGAGGTGTAGACACTAGAGCATCTGCGCTTATACCCATATCGTAATTTTTGTCTTATTATTGTAAAATACTTATCTACCAAACTGTAAAAATTCAGTTGGTTAACCATATTAAAAGTGAGCTCAGAGAGCAACAAATGATCGTCTATTTCACAAAATCCAGGTTTAGTATGTTTACTCGAAAGGCTCTTAGTATTCACAAGAGATTATGTGCTGGTGCGAGATTGAAGTGCTCAAATTTGTTAAATCATTTCTATAAAGGTCATGATAGTCACAATCGGTCGTAAAATTGTCTGGTATTACGATCAAGGCACAAAATGAGAGAAAGCCGACAGCTCAATAATCAAAAAGTTGCCTGAAAAATCACCAAGCGTTGACAAATTTAAGACAGAAACCTCTGAGTTTGGCTCAGGCACCAATCATGTGTTTTTTAGCTCAAACAAGTTCTAGATTCTCCGATGGTGGAACTCCTAAATCACGCATCTTGTTTCCAGTGTTAAAAAAGTCCTCTCCCTTTTATATTTTGAAAAAGAACAAATCAAAACCATTCCTCGAAGTTTTCACAGAGTTTTCTTCAGACAGGGGAAAAAAATCACAGAATGTTTGAAGAATTGAAGTAGAGTAATTTTCTGCTTAAAAATCAAATATGGTAGGAAGTCAGAGGGAGTCAGGAGGTCAAAAAAAATTTGCCTTGACAACACAAATGAAAAACCAATGTAATTTGTTTGTAGATCCAACACTGAGGGTGTCGGTTGACCTTTGTTGCCTCGAATCAAGCACTATTTGAGGCATTAATTACAGAGAGGGTACTTGTTTTCAGTTGTGGTTTTTTCAAACTCTCCGCTGGTGCTTTACATTTCCGTGGAAAACTCATCGATAAATTTTAGAAATTTTTTTTAGTTCACTCTCATTCTAATGAGGCTTCAGAAATATAATCAAGGTTTTTTTTGTATTACGCGATAAAGTTAAAACAGTGTGTATGTTTTGCCACAGTTCTTTCCAAATATTCAGCGGGCCGATTTTAATGACTTTTACAGCCATCTATTGGAGATCGTCTCTAGATGAGCTCGCGTTATTTAGATTCCGAATCGCGAAAACCCGCAAACAGTGCCTTTTAGAGTGCCTCTTAAGCGCCCTTTGAGGGATGGGCCGCGTAACGGAGGTAAAGAATATTCGGTATAAAAGCTCATCGAACTAAACACATACAAACTGATTGCGGTAGACGCATACGGTTCGTAAGACAGTAAATGGAGATGTTGCAAGTGTGACGAATTTCCGATTTGACTGTTGATTCTTATGTAAAAGTTTGTGAGAAACACGATGGTGCCACTGGTTTTCTCCGAAATCAACTCCCAAGCCCAAAAAAAGCTCTCAAGTTGAGGCCAAAATGGAGGGGATATCCCACGCTAACCTGAGAGTCCACCTCTACATCAAGACAAACTCTCCATGCAAAGATAGGGAGCAAATACATTGACAGGGCTGCCACTTTATTTGGGGATCTAAAACTGAAAACACGGCAACCCTGCTGATGTATTTGCGCCCTATCTTTGCATGGAGAGTTTGTCTTGATGAGGAGGTGGACTCTCAGGATAGCGTGGGATATCACCTCCATTTTGGCCTCAACTTGAGAGCTTTTTTTGAGCTTGGTAGTTGATTTCAGAGAAAACCAGTGGTACCATCGTGTTTCTCGCGAACTTTTACATAGGAATCAATGGTCAAATCGCAAATTCCTCACACATGCAACATCTCCATTGGAATTTTTTCCCCCAAAGAGATACGCTGTTTTGCGCAACACTACAACGTAAACAAAAACGGCGTTTCTCTTTGAGGGAAAATTGTGCTACTATGAGCTTTCTCCCTCTGTATTGAGATTTTCAGCTTTGTGCTGATTTTTAACGCACGTTGGCTTAAAAATTCCAACCCACTGAAATAAATGCATTTCCTTTCCTTGTAATGGAAGAAGTATGAGCTGATATTTTAAGACATCATAACCAAGAAGTGCCTTTTTTGAGCCCAGTGCTTTATTCTCAGTGCGGACTCGTACCCAAAGCTTTGCTGTAGGTTCTGGAGTGAGCTATCTGCTATCTATACCCCGGTATAACGCTGCCAAAGGTGAGTGTCCATATACTTCTGGGATGTAGACATCACTCAAGTTTGACGTAATGCTTTTATTCCCCTTTGACGAAGTACATGGAATCAAATGGCAAGTGCAAGTAGCGTTGCCAATATCCAAACAAATTCTCAGATTCCCATATTGAAATAACCCATTAAATCGGAGGTGTGGCATCGTCGAGTGCAAGTTTACGAGCGGCCAATTTTAGCGAGCATTAGCACGGTCGCAACGATGTAACAATGGCCAGAGCCAGCCCTCTGATGCGGGTGCTCATGCCCCGCCGGTGGCGCCATCTAGCGGAGAAATCCGGGAACCTCGACAGCCTAAAAGGAGGATTTTCGCGTCCGCAAGGCAACGCGGCCGCGCCTAGGACTCAATAAATTCTCAGACGGAAATCACCGTGTTTTATGACGGATAAGCAATGAAATTTACGCGCGATTTCGAGCTCGACGCTAATTGAACGTACGAGAGGAGAGAGATTGAGCAACAAACTTTTGAGGGTTCTCTTAAGAATCACCCTCGAGGCATACTATCGGGGAGGGATCGACCTAGGAAAAACGCCGTATGAGCCTCCAGGAGTTGCCAAATTTCCTT